TTGTGAGGCAGGTCATGGAACCACTGAGCTAAATCCCCAGCCCTTTTGTAAAGTTAAAATGCATAAAATAGAGTTTATCTTTTTGCAAGCTATATATGAATTTATGAGCTAGAGCTTCTGTAACAGTACCACCAAATATTTCATTCTTAACTAAGAGAAATTATAGTGCTAAAAACTATTTCAGATGAGAAATTACCATTACATGCATGGTACACATATTAATACATGCAAAAAGTTTACAAAAATGTCTTTGTACCACTGGAAGTGATGCCACCGTCCAATGTGCTGCTGCAAATCTTGTCAGTGACCTAAGACAGTCATCCTGAAACAACAATTATCAAAGAATCCAATGAAGCAGTAGTTCTCTTCTCTCAGGAATGGTGCTTCTAAGGACAATGGCTGTGCAAACAATCGCATCTCTCTAGGGGACAGAATGGCGCCCAGGGCATCTCTCATGACATCTCCAACAAAAGAGTTCGGTGGGAACAGCAGCTATGTCCTTGGTACCATGCTGCTGGCTTTTCTCTGGAAAGAACTAAACACTGTATAGGTATCAGCAACCAGCCAGCAACACATGCCGAAAGACAGTGATGTGGCATTTCTTTGTATTTATTCTAGAGATACTCCAAAATGTGGGAACTGTAACAAATATTGGGGAAAGTATGTAAAAAAGGACAGATCCAGAAATCAGGGTGTATGTAGCCATTAGAAACTATCAGGAAGAGTAAGTAGCATTAAGGAGAAAGCTTGATTTAAAGTGACGAATCCAGCAAGAAACAATTATAGATGAAAATTATGATTGAGTATATGTTAGCAAAAGATGGACGAGGGGATGAAGGGCGCACAGGTAACAGAGAAAAAAATAAGAACCAAGATACATCACATACAGGTACAAACAACCAATGATAAAAGTAAATGAATTGTGTACCTAAAATGTACCAATAAAATGTACCAATAAAATTAATTAAAAAAAAAAGATGGACAAGTGAAGAGCTGAGGAGATTTTTGTTCTTCTTTATTCTCTGGCTTTTGCACTTTTGCTAATGCTGTTTGATTAAATAAATACTACAGATCTAGGTCTTGGTTTTGAAGCTTTTCAAATGAAAACTCATTCTCCCACCTCCTGCTCCCAGGCTTTGCTTAAAACCCTGGGGGCTGGGGCAGGAGGAGGAAAAGGGGTAGAGGCATCTTTGGGAAAGTAGAGCTTGAAGAGCATCCTAAAGAACAGGAGGCACTCTGGGCAGAGGAATGAGAATACACAAAGTTCTGGGAACTAGCACTTAGGATCCTGTGACTATGTGACTGGACCATGGGTGTGGGGATTGGCAGAAGTCGATAATGGAGAAACAGGTGAAGATGTTTATAAAAGCATGAATATGACTGGGCCGGGGATTTAGCTCAGTGGTTTCCTCACCTGCTGCACAAGCACAAGGGCCCAAGTTCAATCCCTGGTACCAAACAAACAAACAAACAAAAAAACCCCAAAAAGCATGAATATGACCAAGGTTGCTTTTTGGAGGAACCCTTCTGATAACATATAGGGAAGGGTGTGATTCAGGGTAGAGATTGCCTACTACAATCTAGGTAAGAAATGATATGGAGCCAGGCGTGGTGGTGCATGCTTGTAACCCCAGCACTCTGGGAGGCTGAGGCAGGAAGATCACAGGTTCAAACCTAGCCTGGGAAATTCAGTGAGGTCCTGTATCAAAATAAATAATAAGAAAAGGGCTGGGGATGTAGGTTAGTGCAAAGGTCCTGGGTTCAATTCCAAATCTCTCTTTTCTGTGTACATGCCGGGAAAAAGCCAAACAAGCAGAAGGAATGGCAAGAAGTTCAGAGACTGCTGATCAATTGACGCAAGGATGCAAATAGATGCCTAGGCCAAATAACACGCCCGATAGTGCTTCAATTTTCTGGTTTGGTCACCTGGATGGACAGTAGTGACTTTAAGTCACAGAATATAGGAAGAAAAGCTGATTTGGGTTGTTAGACTTGAGGGCACCTTTAGGAGAGCTTGTTGGAAAAAACCCCAAGTGGTCAGTAAGTAAGAGAGACCCGACTGAGGATGAAGTGCAGGATATATATACACAGCTGGAATCCCTTGGCTGTACCTGAAACCAGAGGCCCAGATTGGGCTGAGCAGGGAGGGGCACCGGACAGATGGGGGAGGGTAGAGAAGGGGGAAACAGGCAGAAGCCTGGGTTTAAATGCTGTAACAATTACTGGAGGAAGAGCACACTGAAAAGGAGTAGGCAGAGAAGGAGGAAGAAAGCCAGGAAGACCACAGAAATCAAGAGAGCAGATGGGTTTCAGAAGAAAACAAATGCATGTTGAGTGAGCCTGGACAGTGGGTCAGTAAGACCTGGTCAGACACTGGCCACACAGTGAGAAGCAGCAAGCCTGGTCAGACACCCCTTCCCCATCTTCCCAGCATGCAGTGTACCCAGCCTGACCCAAACTTGCACCTATTCACATGTTCTTATCAAGGGTGATCAAACGTGCAGGTTCTGTTTTACACTTCTCATGATAGCATTAGAAATTCAAGAATAAGCTCCCTTGTTTTTAGATTTTTCCCCCATCTTTTCAAGTGCTTCATCAATGGCTCTGGATGAAGAGGCATAGTTACTTCCAAAAATCTACTTCAAAGAAAAATTAAGAAAAGACAAATCATAATTATTTCTTCTATATCCTAATAAAAATTAGTTTTCCTCTGAAAAGAGTAAACCCAAGGTTAAAAAATCAATTTCAGACCCAGGTGTGGTAGTGCACATTTGTAATCTCAGCACTCAGGAGGCTGAGGCAGGAGGATTGCCTCGAGTTTGAGGCCAGCCTGAATTACAGAGTGAGACCTTGTCTCAAGAAAAAATTTTTTTCAGCTTTGAAAGTTTGATTTCCACTTCAGCTTTTCATGAACTGAGTAAGGAGAGAACTTACCAGTCTATAAGGCAAAGGACCAAACAATGGTTTATCTTCATCACTCAGAATTCTTTCTGCAGATCAGAAATGAAGAGGGTAAAATTTAGGTACATGTCATTAGAATTAAAAAAAAAAACTACAACAACCAACTCTTTCTGCAGAACTAGTTTTAGAATTTTTGAATCATTTCCTAAGAATTGACTTTGGATGGAAAGTCAAAATAAATGCAAATTCCCTCAACTGTCAGGAGACTATAACCACAAGGAAAATGGGTTCTCTGTTGCTGTGGCTAGTTTATAAAGTGTTAAGGTAGTATTCTGTCAGCGCACTACATTTCTTGATTTTAAGGCTTTTTATTTCTTCATATTGTTGTGCACTTTAAGGATCTCACTTAAAAGCAGGATTCTACACACAATTCACATCAATGTATGATTGTGACTTAAAGAGAAATAGCTGTAAACCTCTTACCTATGCTCTGGATGGTGTACGCACAGCTACCCCAGCACATTATGGGCACACGGGGATCCTCTTCGTTGGGGTGAACTTTTAGTCCCACCTTGTAGGTAGCAGTTCCAAATGTTGTCAGCATTTCCTTAATGCTCTCAGAATAAGGGTTCCTAACACGAACACATACAGGATTAGCTCAAAGCAATATGTACACATCAGTAAAATGGCGCAGGTTCTGAACAGCGCTTTGCTCTACTTGTGACAGCTGTAAGCAAAAGGGTAATCAGACAGTGACTGCCCTGGCCTAAAGGGAGTTTTGCTCTTGGGTCAGAGGGGTGAGACACAGGGGAGAAACCAGGGTAACGGGCAATGTATGCAGAGTTAACAGTGGGGTCCTCGGCTCTCTCCTCCCATGGGCAATGCACACCCACTGGCACCGAGACTGGTCTTTCCAGTGAGTGATCCTCAGCAGAAAGTCCTCTACACATCGACACTTTAGAGTCCCCAAGAGAAGGACAACTGGCAGCTTGATCACCTTCCTGTGCAGCTCCCAAGTGAGTAGGCTAATCTTGCCCACAAGGCACCAAACAGCCCAGTACCTTCTAAGTCACCCAAGGACCAACAGATATGTAAGGAGAGCATCCAAAGTAACAGATCAGAACAGGAGGGAAAAGAACTCAGGGAGAATGGAGACAACCTATAAGAAAACGAGAGGACCGGTCTAAGGCTAATGGAAGATACCAGCAGGACTAACCCAAAGAAAACTCAAGATCAGAAAATGATTGAAGAAAGCACATTAAAAAAAAACAACTCAGAGGGGCCGGGGATGTAGCTCAGTGGTGCCACTGCCTGCCTCTCAAGTGCAAGGTCCAGAGTTCGATCCCTGGTACAACCCCCCCCCCAAACAAAAAACAAAAAAAACACTCAGAACCGAGGGACACAAATTCTCAGGTTCAAAGAGTTTAATGAGAACTCAGCCAAATGAATGAAAACAATTCATGTGCAAGGAACACCACAGAGAAATAGAAGTAATAAAGCTACAAGGAACAGGAATGCGAATGGCATAATTTCTCAGTGGATGTCAGAAGTGAATAAAAATCTAGACAAAAACTTCCTTCTAACCCAGAGGCCTTAACCCGAATTATGAATCCCAATAAACTTTACTTCAGACGTGAAGACTGAGCATCCAGCTGTTCTTTCTCAGGGATGTGCAAAGGGTGGAGCTGTGCAAAGAGGGTAAGTTAAGAAAGCAGAGAGGCTGTGATCTAGAAAGCCAGAGGGGCCTGGCAAGCAGAGTCTACAGGGGACAGCTGTGGCCTCTCCTGACCGGCTCAGGGACAAGGCTGTGCAGGAGGCAGAGCTCCAGGATGGAGGCTCATCTGATAGGGCTGAGTGCCTGGAAAGGCAACTGCTCAGCACCTGATAGATCTGCTGCACCATTCATGAAAAATCCACCAGGAACATATGCACAGAAAACCAAATACAAGCCCGGGGTGGTGGCGCATGCCTGTAATCCCAGCACTTGGGAGGCTGAGGCAGGAGGATTACTGTGAGTTCAAGGCCAGCCTGGGCTATATAGCAAAACTCTATCTCAAAAAACAAAAAAAAAATTAAAACAAGAAGAACAAAACAGAACAGAATAAATAAAAACAGAGACGGAATAAAATAATATACTCACTGAGGATGAAAATCAGGCCTGAAACCTTCAAGGAGCTGTACTTCTTCCACGTTCTTTGAATTCTCTGAAGAGGCAGGAACTGCAGAAACAGGCACTTTATTCCATTACTCAACAAATTACCATATTTCTATACATTTCAGTTATGTGAGGAAAATAATTAAGAAACAGGAAAAAATTCTCATATAAAGCACAAGAATCACTACTGCTCTTTTGACCAAGCATTTTCTAGCACATGTGATGCCAAAGCGAGCATGACCAGAGCATTTTCTCTCCTTTCCTTATAAACAGCCACTAGGACACAAAGAAGATGCGGCTGTTTTGTTTCTGTGAAAACTAATGACACAAATCTGCTCACACTGCTCTCCCTCAAGGTCCCAAGTGCAGTGCAATCTATGAAACTTGGGGAGCCCTGGGTGCTGTAAGTCAGCAGAGACTAGAGCCAGCCTTCAATACCCAGTCACCAGGCCCCCTCCCACCCCTAGGCTCCTCCATAAAGTGAGGGCCTGAGTGAGAGGTCATCCCGCCCAACTCCACAGGGCCTATATGCTTACCAGGGATGAAGAGCAATGGAATAAAGTCAAATTCCATGTATTAAAACAAGGAAAATCAGAATGTACCAACTTTTTACTTATTTACTTTTTCCCATTATTTATCTTTTATTTGGCTCTTTAAATTATTTTTGTGTTGTTCATATAAATGACATACCAAATTTTTAAATGAAAGCTTTCAGTTTTAAATACTTTTAAACAATTTCTTGGAAACAATTTCTGGAAATATTTTAGGGAAAAAAGAAGGCAGGTTACCAGAACTTACTGGAAGCATTTTCTTCTTTCCTAAGACTCTGTAATGCTTTTATCTGCTGAGATATTGTTCTAATCCACTGGGTCAGATTTGGTTGGTCTGAAAAATTTAACCTGCTAGAAAATATCATGGAGATCATTTAATACTCTTGTTGTTGCTTAGTTTGAGACACAAAAGATTTGTTTAATTATCACAGATGCAATACTTTAGACACACTTCAAGGACTTAAAACAAAAAAGACCAGGAAAAATTTGTTACATTTTTGAAAAAAATGTGTGTGAATTCAATGAGATAATGTAAGAATGACTTAAGTTAAAACTATAAAATAAGATTCAAACAGAGTTCTAGACCTGCCACTTTTTAGTTACACAGGAAAATAAATCTCCAACTTTCAATTTCTTCAACTGTACAATATGGATATTGATGAAGGCAAGTGTTTTGAGAATTAAATGAGATATTTCAAAGCTAACACATAACACCAACAGCATAGTAGTGCAAATACAAAGGCCAGAGCCGGTGATGGAGACAGACCAGCCAACGGACTGAGGTGAATACAACCATGGGGTCTCAAAATTACCTACCAGGCACACATTTCCATTGCTAGAAACAAAAGGAATAGCAATAATATTACATTACAAGTTAGGTAATATGCAATGTTTTTATCCTAATTTTTTGGTGCATAGATATTGCCAAGAGTTTTTTGGTTTTTTGAAAATATAAATAAAAAATGTCATCAAACCTACCCTTTGCAGCATAGACTCTGACCAGGCATATCCATTATATTCTACAGCCCACTGCAGTATCATTCCCATGATGCACAACGTGACATCTGACTGCAAAATGTTAACCAGACTTGCAAAGAGATGGCAGACAAGAGGCAAAACCAAGGTGGAAGTGCTGAAAATAGTCATTATGGTTTCTTTTAAAGAATATGTTTAAAAAACCATCTCTTTATTATATACTTTTAATGGTCTTCATTCAAAGAATATTCATTACTGCACATCTTAAAGCTACATACCACCTTCTCAAGGTCAGTTAAATCTACAAAAGCAGCTGTATAAACAAGAACACAACAAAGGAAAATCTTTCTCTTTCCTAGACATATCTCAAGCTCTGAGATAAAACCATTAACTCCAAGGTGACTCAGTACAGACTGCCTTTTATTAACATATAATTCCTTTCTAGATTTAAATCTTTTATCCCATCCAAGGTAACAGAAAATATCACAGTTAATAGAAAACAATGTTTATCAAGTAAAAGAGACTGACATGAAACTTTTGGAAAAAATATTAAAATACCTGTATCTTCTCTTATTTTGTCTTCTCAATTTCCTTTGAGCTTCTTCTGCCTAATAACAAAAGAAAGCAATTTGGACAGGAATTATACTAAGAAACAATTTAATATCTCTAAGTAGCAACATAAGTCGATCTCTGCTGTCCTATCTTCAGGTTTTAGGAAATTTTTATTTTTATTTTTTTTAATTTTTGGTACCTGGGATCGAACTTGGGTCTTTGCACTTGCGCAGCAGGGGTCGAAACCACTGAGCTAAATCCCTGGCCCTAGGAAATTTTTATCTTCAGTGTTGGGGCAGTCCCCTCCACCTCAAAACACATTGAGGTTAAATTCTGTTCCCACTAAAAGACAGTCCAAATGAGTTCTCTGTTGCTTTAAAATGCAAGGGAAACATGTACCAACCAACAACAAAAATAAAGTGGGCTAAATGATTAAAATACAGATGGAAAATTTCTCTTCAAAAGCCAACAAATTACAATAATGCATGTACAGGCACATACAGTTATACAGATCTTACACAGCTATGCACAACAGTAAGTGGGAAATCTCAAAATGTTAGGCAGTAACTTGTACTTTCTTCTGTATTTTTACTGTTTTATATTTTCCAAATTTTCTACAACAAAAAGATAGGAAATCCTTTGTCAGTCTGAAAAGCAGTGAACGTTTTTCAGGGGAAAAAAAAAACCCAATCCTTTCCCACTATACTTTTAATTTTCCCAATTACCTTGGACTGCTCTGCCCTTGAGAAGCGATAGAAATACAAGTTGAACTCCTTGGCACATTCTGGTTTCAGTTCGTACATGCCTCATCCTCTTAATCCAGGTTTCCTATTTTTCAAAAAAGGCCCTTAGCCCATTAATTTTTTTCCTTAGCCCATTATTGCTAAAGTTATAATTAAACAATAACAAAAGAAAAAGGACAACAACAACAAAAAATAGTTAGGTACTAATTTGTGAGAGTCTTAGAAGTTAGAACAGGAGAAAGAGTTCTCACACGCCGCTGGTGGTGTTGAGCTGAAGCAGCTTCCTGTGGGTTAATCTGGCTCTCTAAATCCAGGTCTTTATGTGCATACATTTTATCTACCACAGTCACTTTGACTTCATACTAACTAGACGTGTGAATCTGATGTACATATAGCTGCAGCAATTTCACTTTAACTGGAAACAGGTTACATAAATTTCAACAGCTCCAAGCAATTAACTGAATAGTAGTAAAAGTGACATTAACCAATTCACAGTTTACCCTAAGTGTCACTCGGGCAGTGCGTGTGTGTACATACTGACTATCCCGAGCATCGCTCAGGCTGATGTCATTTCAACCAGACAATTCTTCTACTGAATAAATTTGATAAAATTGTCATTTTTATATTTCCTGTTATCTTATAAAATTATGCAATTTTGGGTCATCCTGTATTTAAGTAATCGGAATGGTAAGTGGTTAATGTATACTCTGACATGTGAAGATGGCTGTGCTAAGTTCTATTAAGTAGAAAAGAACAGATACAATGCTGGGGTTTAAGAAACCCTCCTAAGTAGGTTATAAAACCCAGAAGCCAGGCAAGGCAGAAGAATTATTTTAAAACCCTTGTGTGAGATGACATTACAAAAATAAAAACTCAGTGATAAGAAGTACTTGCAATGCATTTAATATAGTAAGAGTGAATATCTTTAGTATGTAAAAAGTGCTTATGGAACATTAAGATGGTGACAACTGCAAAGAAACATACCCCAAAGTATGACTAATTACAACTGGTCAAAACTCAGATGAAAACACCCTCAATCTCTCTGGTAGACTAAAGCAAATTAAAGTAACATTTCCTAACCAAATGATGCTTAAAAATTTTAAAAGTATACAGGACCGGGGGTGTAGCCAAGTGGCAGCAGCACATACTAAAGCCCTGGGTTCAACCCCCAGAACTGGGTGGGAGGAAGAAGAGCGAAAAAGAGTGCACAGGGAAGAGGTTAAATATCTCACAGGACAGACCATCAAGAAGTTGAAAGAATGAAACAGGCCCACGTGTACTGACAAGGCACACTAAGTAAAACAAAACCAAAACCCCCCAAAAATCAAACATATAGAAATACCCCCATTAAAGTTTAAATTTAAAAAACAGTAAAGAACAGTAATATAGAATGGACCTGTTTTTATTTTCCTAGCCACTCACATGTACAGATAGAAATGCTGCAGGTACAGGAAAAAGTTTAGGACAAATACTGAATATCTAAAATGCAATGGCAGTCACCTGAGTGGTTAGATTATGGTGATACTCTTTTCTTCCTACCTTTCTGTATTTCCTGTAGAAGCATGGGGGGAGGAATGAAAAAGCATGATTAAGAAAATGCCCAGACAGCTTTTAGGGGAGAAACTAGCTTATTGATTGGGATCACAGTGGACGGAGGAGAAGGCAGCACCAGGCCAGGTCACAACCTAAGCGGCACATTCAAGCAAAAACAAAGAAAGCAATGTTTAGAAACCATAATGCATTTACTCACATCACTGAGTAACTCCTGCTATGTGAAACAATGAATACCTAGTCTGCATGCTAGGAAAACCCTCACAGTACTTCTTTAGGTCTCTAAGTGCAGGGCTAGGTCATGAAAGTAAAATGTCAGTGAAAAATTTAACACAGAATGCTAACTTAAAAATATTTGTCACTCTGAAAGCAACAACTTCATTCTCAGTTCCATCAAAGACAAATGATTATATTAAAGACAACAACAACAGTAACAATACCACCACCACCATCACAAGCTAGGCACAGTGGCACACACCTGTAATCCCAGCAACATGAAAATGTTGCAAGTTTGAGGCCTGCCTGGGCAACTTAGTAAGACCTTGTCTCAAGATAAAAAAGGCCTTGAGATGTAGCTCAGTGCTCCCTAGGTTCAATGCTCAATATCACTAACAAAACAAACAAATAAATAAACATACACACAAACACAAACAAAAGCCTCCCTAAACCAAATCAGATAAACTCTACAAAATGTGAAGTAACGGGAAGAAAACTTACTTGAAATGGGCAACTGTTTCAGTGACATTCTCCATGCCAGTCTCCTTGTTCTCCTAGAGTGACAGGAAACAAGTGGGTACTGTGTTAGTACTGACAGCTGCTACACTCAGAGCACTCACAGCAACTCTGGATCCATTATTACCCCACTGAAAGAGTGAGGGTTCCATAGCAAACAGAGCAAGATTACAAAATTAGCCAGACTTACCTAGCAAGCTGGCATTCATTCATTCAAATGGAATATGAAAAAAAGTCACTACTACCAAATACAAGATAAGAGCACTTTTTGGGCACCGGGTGTCGAACTCGGGTCTTTGTGCTCGTGCAGCAGGCGGTGAAACCACTGAGCTAAATCCTTGGCCCAGATAAGAGCTTTTTAAAGAATTAAATAACACAAAGTATATAAGACATTTAAATAGAATTTATGTAAAATATTTACAATATTTTATAAAATAGCCATTCTAAATGCTGATCTTGAGCAGGTTTTTTTTTTTGGTACTGGGGATCAAACTTGGGTCCCTGCACTTGTGAGGCAGGCAGCAAAACCACTGAGCTAAACCCCTGGCACCAGGTTTTGTTTTTTTTTTGTACCGGGAATTGAACTTGGGACCTTGCACTTGCGAGGCAGGCAGCAGAACAAAACAGTACTTCCAAGAGGTTAATAGAAATTCTACAAATAAAGGAGTCTCTGGTCAAAATGTTTGGGGAGATACAGTTGGCATCTTTTTGTACAAGGCATATAACGTTTTTAAAACTTATTGCATAAAGTTGTTTTTTCTTAAAGTTCAGATTAAACTATACGCCCCCACATAACAATTCAGGATTCATTTCCTGCATTAAAAAGTACAATTTCTATCCTGACCAGATCTATGATTCAGAAATTATTATTGTTTTTAAAGTGTGATAATGGCACACAGATAGGCTGTTCATAAAGCCCTAAGCTCTTCTGTAGTAGAGTTGCTGCATCTTAGAATTGTGGATTTTACAATTGTGGGAAATGTATATATAAGTAAATCTATAATACCAGATTGATAGGTAGGGAAAGCTCATTACAATTTTCTTTTTAAAATGTAGGTATTCTTTTTTTTTTTGGTACCAGAGATTGAACTTGGGACCTTGTGCTTGTGAAGCAGGGGGCAGAACCACTGAGCTAAATCCCCGGGCCTAATGTAGGTATTCTTTAAAGAAAAAAAAAAGTAGGTACTAACAACTGCACAAGGCTATAATCCTAGCACTCGAGGCCAAGATAGGAAGATCACCATGAATGAGGCCAGCCTGAGCTACACAGTAAGGTCAAGGCCAGCCTAAACTACATAGTAAGACCCTGCCACAGCCAACCAACTGATACCATGTAGGAACTTACATCTTCAGGTAAAGACTTTACCAATTCACTGTGAGCCATAGGGTTGATGCTCAATTGACGGATAATCTCCTGCTTAATTTCATCTGTAGCATTCACCTGTCCAAACCCAGGACTAAATCGCTTACCTGTGAAAATGAGAAGGTGTACATCCACATTAACGTAATCACAATCCTCAGGTGATACACACTTGTAACTCATGCAGCATGATGAATTCCTATTTCTATCTCTGAAGTGGGAAAGCAATGACTGGTTAGGAAGAAGCCAGGAGAGAGCAGCTCCTGAACACTTCTGCGTCTCAAATGCAGAGCCAAGTGCTGGCTTTTGGCAAGCAGTACTGTGGGTGCTACTTTAGAGGAAGGACCAGAGGGCAGGAAGCGATAAGGTACAGATAAGGGAGTCCCAACATTACAGTGTCCAGAGGGCGGAAAAAGAAAATGTTCCAATTCCTTTCCCCTAAAATTGATATTTATTGTCTCCCAATGAAAGAAACATAGGTCAAACATTCTCAACTACATGCTAGCACAAAATTCAACATAATTTATAAATATATTAAACAATGGAAACTTACCAACAAGCGTTATAATGAGGTATAGCATTTCTTCTATTAGAGTATTGTTCTGCTGAACAACATCCTACAAGTGGGATCAAAGAGAAGAATATGTATACTGTATTTTCTCAGATGAGTAACACATCCAGAAAGAATGAAAGTTGCTTCTTTAGTGATGTGCTGTGGTCTCACAAAACATGCCTCTTACCTTATGGGTGATCTCGGAACTGAATCTTTTCCCATAATCTGGTGTACTGAAAATCTGATAAAGTTCAAAGCAGCTAAGCATTATTATCAGGAAATGATTTGGATCCATCATGGAGACACCTGTCCTTTTTTGTTTGTTTTTTTGAGATAAAGGAAAAGAGAAAGATCAAAAGGGACATTAAATAATTAGTGAGAGATATTTTGCAAGGTCCTGAGTTCGATCCCTGGTACCAAAAAAAACAGAGATATTTTGGTTTGCAAAGAGGAAACAGCTTACTTTTTTACCAATGGAAATACAAGATGGAATCTCATTTAGCCCCGGTCCCTAGCACGGCAGTTGACAAGCTGGGATAGGGATGCAAGCTGGTGAAACACAAGCAGACAAATAAACAAGCCCTCTGAAGCCTAAACTCACACAAGAGCAACGTGAGTTTTCCATTCAATGCTCCTCAGACTCTCTTTTCCTTTTAATGCTTTGAAATAATTGTATTCCTATCAATTTGGCTCCCAAGTTTTGTATCAGGTTCACTGCCTAGTGATCACAGTATGAACTCCAAGAGGAATACTATGCAGTATTTTTAAAGCACACAGCATATCAAGTTACAACTAAGATCTCTTTTTTTCAGGTAAATACTAGTGACAGCTTTTAAAAATTAGTTTCAACTCTCTCTTAATTCCACTTGTGAAAACTAAATCAATCTGGATTTTAATTTATTTTGAACCACTTTTTTTCCTGAAAATTAGATTTCTTTTTTTTTTGGTACTGGGTATTGAACACAGGACCTTGTGCTTGCGAGGCAGATGGGAAAATTAGATTTCTTAAAATTTTTTAATAATTACTAAATCCCTTCAGCAATAACATGGAACAACTATGTGTCACAAGTACTATGCTAGAGAAAAGGGAGGAAAGAAAGAAATTAAAGAAAAGATGTGATGCAGTTGTCACAGTGTGGGGGGAATAAGAGGGAAACCGTCACTCACAATCCAGAGTGTGGGGCCTGTGGCAGGGAGGTTAGAGCGCCATGTCATGGGTCCTCACAAAAGGGATGCTCAGCTAAGTTCTAGTGTGTCAGAGAAGAATTACCAGAGAAAGTGTTACGAAATCCAAGTCTAAGACACACTGGAAATTAGCTAGGTGAATGGAAACAAAGAGGGGAGGGGACCAGGAATGAAAAGAAAGACATGTGCAGAGGTTGAGAAAGACCATACCAAATTCAGGGAACTTCAAAATAGTATGGAAGAGTAAGAGGAATTATTTTGAACAGGCTAAATGTGAAATGTGTCTGGAAGATCTAGGCGGACATTTCCTAGGTTGTTGGCCTGAGCTGGAGCTTTAGTAGGCAGGGCTAGGATGGAGTTCTATATTTGGGAGTCAGAAGAACAACTGGGCTCAGCGGCGATAATGAGCTAAAGATTCACCATAACCTTTAAATTGAAGGCTTTTAATGCATTACCTGAACCATCATGATATCCTTGTCAAACATCTCACATCTGCATTTCACATTATGGTAGTAATAAATCTAAAATAATAATTAAATACATTAGGTAAATAGGTTTTTATTGCCACAGCTCCATTCTTTCATCTCCCCAAAACCAATGTGGGTTTGTATAAGTACAAGTGTGTGTGTGTGTGTGTGTGCGCGTGCGTGTATGTGTATGAGAAAGAGAGAGAGCAAGAGAGAGATGTGGATTCCCAAACAGCTAACACTATCTTCATATAGATTTTCACTAGGAGTCACAGTTTACACTTTACAGTCAACTTTTTGGATCCCTCAACAAAATAAAAGATGGATATTTCAGGAAAGTTTAGAGCCTCTAAAAGTAGGGGAAAAAATATCCATAACCAAGTCCTGGTAAGGTTTAAAATGCAAAACCTCAACTTCAGCTTTGTCTTTTAGCTCAATTTAAGTAGATGCAATCTAGAATTTTGTTTTTAACTATCCAACTTTATTCTAAAGAATTATTTCAAATGAAAATTAAGACTGTCATTCATTTTACTTTCAATATTATTTCTTGACAGCTTATAAATAAAAGCTCTAAGAAACTTTTTTGGTTTACTATTAATCTTTTCAAACAATTTTAATATAGATACTAAATTTTCAATGAGTGCACGAAAGCCTTCATTGAAGTCAATGAAATGGAATGAAAACTCTCCATAGAATTAAAAGAATACCTACCTGATTTACTAGTGAGAACCCGTTTCTCCTCCACATTCCAGTGTGTACTTGGGCACATAAAACAAGACACCTCAGAGGGTGTTCTATTAACATGGGTGGACTAAGTTCACTCTGTATAGTAAGCAGAAAATAAAATACCATTAAAAAAACCCCACAACTCGGAAAGTAAGTTGGTTAACAGGAATGAAAGCTTTTATAATACACAGATTAAGATTATTTTAAGAAGGTTCAGGGATGTAGCTCAGCAGCATGACCTGGCAAGCATGAGGCCCCGAGTTAGATTCTTGGTACAAAAAAAAAAAAAAAAGGGTAGTATACCTAAAATGTACCAATAAAAGAATTTAAGAAAAAAAAGATAATTTAAAATTATTTAAAGATACTTTGGAGTGTTCATTAATTTTGTGCCAATTTAGCTAAGCTATGGTATCCAGCTTAAGGTCAATACCATACTAGGTATCTAGATGTTGTCATTAAGATAATTTTTAATACAGTGGTACCCTGGTTCACAAATGTAATTCTGATTCTGGTCACAAAACTGAATTGTTCATGAACCGAATCAAATTTCCCCATAAAGTCAACAATGAACCTAACCACTGAATTTAATTCAGTTTGTAAGCAATTCAGTTTGTGACCAGAATTGTGAAAAATAAGTTGTGAACCAAGGCACTACTTGTACGAGTAACATTTTTTTCCCCTCAAACCTGCACCAATTCTCCTGCCTCAGCCTCCTGAGTGCTGGGATTACAGGCGTGTGTCACCATGAATAACTTAATAACATTTTAGTAAACTTTGAGTAAGGCAAAGTAGCCTCCATAAAGTGAATGGGTCTCATGAATTCAGTTGAAGGTCTTTGAAGAGAAAAAGACTGAGGTGGTAAAGGGTGAGGAAAATCTGTCCCCATGACTGCCTTTATACTTGAGGCTGCGATATCAATTCTCCACAGGTCTCTTCAGGCTGCTGGGCAGAGGTGCCTTGCAGACTGCAGACTTCAGACTCACCAGCACCCCTCATACCGCACTGGGCAATTCCTTAAAGTAAATCCTTCTCTAAACACACACGTGCACATATGTGGATGTATACACACACACACACACACACACACACAGAGAAAACCCCCTTATTGTTTTTTTTTTTTTCTAGTATGGGGATCAAACTCAGGACCTTGCATTTTCAAGGCAGGCACGGTGCCACTGTGCTAAATTCCCAGCTCTGGTTTTGTTTCTCTAGAGTAAGTTGTTTCGATTTGATTTCCAATACAAGGAACATAATAAACAGACATTCACTTTAAAATCTCAGAACCACTTACTACAGGTAGGAGCTCTGGAAATTTATATGCCACTTCACTTCTGCTTAATAATACATGTAAACCTGCGTGAAAGAGCAAATAAACAAAAAGGTATTTGTGTAAGTTAAAGTAATTTAGAAAAAACCCTATTCACTTGACTTTATTATGTGACTTTTAAAAAATCATCTGTGGGAACATATCAGGTTGCAAATGAAGATATAAAATGAACTGTGTCCACAAATGAAGCTTTGTAATGGCTGTCCTAGTGCATCTCTGTATCAAAGGCACAATCAGAACTCATTTGTTTGTTTGGTACCAGGGATCGAACTTGGGTCCTTGAGCTTGCAAAGCAGGCAGCGGAACCACTGAGCTAAATCCCTGGCCCAGAACTGGTTTGAATTACATATCCCAACATACACTGGTGACACTCAGAAGTCAGCACTGGCTATACGAACACAGCGTGAGCAGCTATGAAGCATCACACAATGGATACGTGTTACACCAAGCAAGAGTCATTCCCCTGGCCAGTAGACCGTTCCCATCTAAGCACAGTGGCAGGGATTCTTCGGGCAACTCAACAAGGAGCTAGTCCCAGATTCATGGTCTGAGCTTTTTTTTCTTTGTGGTATTGAGAATTGAACAGAGGGCTTTTGCACTGAGCCACACGCCCAGTTCTTTTTTATTTTGAGACTGAGTCTCACTAAATCACTCAAGTGCCTAGGCTGGGCTTGAACTTGGCAATCCTGCCGCAGCCTCCAAGAATGTTGGGATCACAGGCGAGCGCCACCACGCCTGGCTTCTGTACTGATCTTGACCGCAGAATTAAATTCTCCAGAACTTCCAGTGTAGGATCAAAGCCTCTTGAGTTTAGGGACTATACTCAATGAATAATGCCTGGCACACAGTAGATATTCATATATATCGGCCACCACAAACGCTGATTTAAGACAACTGTAGGGTTCTGTTTTAGGAGAAATGCTTTACCTGCAAGCAAGTGAGAAACTGGGAAGTGAATGCTAATGTTTTCTTGGGAAACACAGTATCTGATAGTTTCCACTGAGTGTCCACAAATAGTGTGATTGGCTGTTCACCATCAGTAAAACCACCATGACATTGCATCAATACACCGAGGCATTTCTTGTAAGCTTCAACTAACACTTTTTCCTAAAAAAAAGAAAAAAGAGGGTTTTTCTACAAGTTACTCAAAAGACTGGGTTCCTACTACACTGAACAAGCACCTCAAATTTGGTAATGAATACGTCCATAAAATATGGGTGAAATCAAACTCAATCCTCCCTCATCTACTTGGTCCCTCTTCCAGGGCCCCCTGTCCTAGTGAACGACACCTCTCATCAGTAAAGCTAGCTGTATTATCAAGCTTGCAATTTCATTTTCAAAATTTTAAAATTTCATTTTTAAAACTAGCTCCTGTTCCCTCTCTTTCATGATACAGGGCAAAGGCACCAATAGTACAACTTTATTTTTGGATAAACATAACTTATTTTTATATACTCAGAGTCTAGAAAGGGCTATGGAAAAAATGAAGACACATAGGGAAGCAAGGGTGTAGATTATTTTCTCCTCTATTTTTCAAGTTGTTTTGGCAAGGCTTTTAAGAATTTTGTAAGAATTTTAAGTTCTTTACTGAATTTACAGGAGGAAAGGGGAAATATACTGTTATCTGAGCAAGGCTGTAAAACTATTTTCTCCAAATCTCTTCAAATTGTATGTAGAATTCTGTGCATCCCCTCTCTTCCTTTCCCTTCATATCCTACCCTTAGAAGAAACTCACATCTGAAGCACACCAGTCCTGCATCACGGAGATGACATGTGTTAGTTTCACTTGTAGTGTGAAGGCTGCTTCCCACTCTGGCTCCATTTCAATATGCTGTCCTACTTGTCGTGTGATTGGATCCATTCTCTAAAGAAAAGTGAAAATTTTATTGTCATTATGATTTCTTTTTCAAAGACAGGGTCTTGCTTTGTAGTTCAGGCTGGCCTCGAACTCACAGCCATCTGAGTGTTGGGATCATAGGCGTGTGCCACCGTGGCCAGCTAGGCATAGCTTTTTACATTGTGTGTCTACTGTTGGGCATGGTGGTAACATGCTGCAATTCTAACACTTGTTGAGGCTGAGGCTGGAGGATCACCTCAAATTCGAGGCCAGCCTGGGCAACAGTGAGTGCAAGGTCAGCCTGGACTACATAGAGAGACCTTGTCCTACCCCCCCACCCCCCACACAAAAAGATGAGTCTACTTTATTTCTTTTCTTAAGAAAGCCAGATGGCTACTAAAAGGCTGCTAATTGTACTTCTCAGAGATGTTTCTTATATTCTTAAATTTAAAACTGGTTAAAAATATCTGTTGATTTCTACTTCTAGATTCTGTTTTGCATACAGGTTAAGTTTCTGAAAAAGGGAATTAAACAAGGAAAAGTTTTACACTGTATTGTAAAAATATGACACCAAGAGAGAGAAAAATATGGAGACATTAAATAAAAAGTAATGAGACATCCAGGGGCTTGGATGTAGGCCAATGGTAGAAGGCTTGCCTGTTGTTGTGGTTTAGCTCTAAATCCCCCAGATCCTCATGCGTATGGAAGGTGACTGGATCCTGGGGCGCTGTGCTCACCAGTGGATTCACCCACTGATGAGTTCAGAGCTGACTGTGCTGCTAGAAGGTGGGGCCTGGCTGGAGGTGGCCCACTAGTTCTGTCACCTGGGAGGGTCCCCAACTCCTCCCTTCTTTCTCTGCTTCCTGGCTGGAGTGGAATGAGCAGCTGTCCTTGTCCCAGGTCCTTCCACCATGCTGTTTCTACCCCGGAGCCAGCTGACTATGGAGTGAAACTGTGAGCCACAATAAACCTCTCCTCCTTTAGTTGTGGGTGCTGGATATTGGGTATTGGGCTGGATACTGGCTACTGGGGTATGGGTGCTCATTCACTATTGGTCCCAGTAATGAGAAAGTTGACAAAAACACCTATTATGCATTACCCCTGGGTTCAATGCCTAGCACCACAAAACAACAATTATAACTATAATTTCTCAAATAACTAATGACTTAAATCTTTCAACCTCTAAAGGAATATTAATGGTAACCAAAAGAATTACTATCAAGTGAATAGTAAATGCCAGTACTTTTACAAGAATCTCATTCACTCTAAATCTAAGAGTCTACAATTAGACAGGAAATTCTTGATCCAAACCATAGCCATTCAAATTGATCTTTTGGAAGACTTGGGCTCAAAATGGAGGAAAAAAGCATTGAGAGAAGGGTGTTCAGGTCAATGACAAAACAAGAAAAATTAAAATGAAATAAAAAGAAAAAGGTCTCATTGTAAATGTACTTGCACGCATTTCAGTAATTCCAAAAAGGCATCAAACCCCTCCAGGAACTTGTGCCACGGCTTGTCTGACCACACAGCTGGTTTGCTAATCAACACGTACCTGGACAAGACAACAGCAGCAATGAACACAGAAGCACTGCCATGTGTTAGTCACAAGTGGAGCTGGTTTGATAACTAGGAGAAACTCACTTGAGGTCTAAAATAAGGCTCTGAACTCTCCGGAACTTGAAGGCTTGTAAAGCAGTATATCGTTCAAACTGAAATCTGCCCTGGCCATCTTGATGTCTCAAATGATCCATGAAAGTCTTAATGATAATGCTCATCAGGTTTTCCTCTGTGATGAGCACTCGAGCCTGAAACAGGGGACATCACAGTGAGAGCTGACCAAAAACGGTGGACTAAGAATCAGCAGGATTGTTTAGCATTTGCAGTGAAATCTTTTTCAACACAAATGTAATATCATAAATGCATCATTAGATATTTCTAAATCATAATTATTTACTCTAATTACCACATATATGGAGCAACAATTTTTTTTTTGGTACCGGGGATCGAACTCTGGTCTTTGCGCTTGCGAGGAAGGCGGCAGAAACACTGAGCTAAATCCCCAGCCCTAGAGCAACAAACAATTTAATCAGATGCCACAATGTTAGAAGACAGATCCAAGGCTCATTATTCAAAGATAATTCAGGCTGAGGGATATGAAAATTTTCCTTAACTGAGACATTCAGACACCTATAACGGTATGGTGTAATTATTCTAGGATCCAGAGGTTTGCCATGAATTCGAGGCCAATCTGGGCTACAGGGTGAGTTCAAGGCCAGCCTGAACTACAAAAATGAGACACTGTCTCAACCACTCCCCCAAAAGGAATGAAAAACAAATATATGTAAATAAACAAATTAACAGGCAAAAATTCGGTCTCCCAGCTCCTAAGAGATCCCATTGGAACACAAACTGTTAGGAGTTTCCTGCACATTCTCCCAGAGATGGGGCATATTTATACACACACATGTGCAATACATAGGTTAAGTATATATTAAATATACAAGTATGAATATGTATGATTGTATCTATCACTTTCCCCTCAAGGATAGCACATTATAAATGCTGATCTGTACTTTTAAAACTTGATATATTTTTAGAGATCATCTCCTATCACTTAATATAAATATCCCTCTTTTTTTTAATGGTTACTAAGTATATTTTGTATAATACTTTATTTAACCAGGCCCTTAATGGTAAGATATTTATCTTGTTGCCAGGTCTAAGGTAGTACAAAAGATGTTGCAACAAATATCCACTGTATAGTTATAAGAATAGTTACAGAATAATTTCCTAAAAGTACAATTATTGAGTATGTACATTATAAATTCTGATACCACTACAGTGTCCCGTGAAAGAGGCTTACCAGTCTGTATGTCCACCTAAATGTGGGTCTTGTAAAAATGTGACATTAAAAGTGGAATTATGGGCCAGGGACTTAGCTCAGTGGTGCTGCCACCTGCCTCACAAGCACAAGCTCCTGAGCTCAATCCCAGGTACCAAAAGAAAAAAAAAAGGAGAATTAGTCTGTCTGACTTTACTGAGGGCAATTAAACTCATCTGAATGGAAAAAACTCTAGTGAAGACTAAGATCAAGTTTAGGGGGCAAGAGGTGATAAGTGAGTAAAAGGTTTTTCCTTTTTGTTTGTTGTATGAGTTGGTTTGAGGAAGTTAAATGAGTATGATTCAATTTCACTGAGCTTAAAAACAAATTATAGAAATGGCTCACAAGACTTAGACCTGGCAGTAAAAGGAAGTTTGGTGAAGAGACAATTCAACATTTCTTTCGCATCATTGGTGACCGAATGCAGGACCTAGGGCCTCACAGCTACTTGGCAAGCACCCTACCACTGGGCTCTACTGCTCGGCTCATCCCAGCCCACAAGCCAATAGCAGCACTTTCAGCTTCAGGTCAAGGTTCAAAGAGCAGGCTCACCTACTGCATAGACTCGGACTGGATTCTAATGGTTTTGACTGGGTGCCAAGAAATTATCAGAGTGACCCATGAAAATGGGAGTTATGCTGGCATTTCTACTTTTAAAACAATAACTAAAGAGGTATATTTTCCAAAGTAATAAGCAGACAAGTAGCTATAAAAAAGACCCCAAAGTGATTGACTTTATTATTTTATCCCCATCTTAGTATTAAATATCCAACTCATACAACTCTAGTACTTGTTATCACATACTGTAAAAAAAAACACACCAAAAACCCCCTTAATTTTTATGCCTTCAATCCACTCTGCTTAAAAAAACCCAAAAATTACCACTATTTATCTTTTCCTTTCCCCCCTTTGGTACTGGGGATTAAACCCAAGGGCTTTGCACCGAGCTACATTTATAGCTTCTTAAAATTTATTTTTTATTTTGCTAAGTCGTTTAGTTGCCCTGGCTGGGCTTGAACTTACAATTTTCCTGCCTCACTCAGCCTTCCACAGAATGCTGAGATTACAGGCATATGCCACCACACCTGGCAGTGTTTATTTTAACTACAGTGTTTATTCTTTTTTTTTTTCT